CATTCCTTCATGGCCTGTCCCCAGATCTGCTGGCGCTGAGCAAGACTGCTCAGGCAAGCAGCTTCAGGTCTTAGATGCTGCGGCCACATCATAAAATGACGCCCTCCTGAGCTCCTGGGGAGGACGCTGGGAGACAGCAGGTGGAAAGGGGCCCAAGGCAGCCATTCTCAGCGTCATCCCAGCAGGGCTGGGTGGTACCCAGCGGTCCCTCCAACCCTGCCCTGTCCTTTCCCACCAGCTTTTTTGTTTTTTGAGATGGGGTCTCACTGGAGTGCAGTGGTATGATCACAGCTCACTTGCAGCCTCAATGTCCCCAGGCTCAGGTGATCCTCCCACCTCAGCCTCCCAAGTAACTGGGATGACAAGCACATACCACCATGCCTGGCTAATTGTTTTGTGTCTTTTGTAGGGACAGGGTTTCACTGTGTTGTCCAGGCTGGTCACTGGCCTTCCGTAACACAGTGACGGCACATGTTTTGACCAGAAAGACCCTCAGAGGTTTCATGATCCAAGGCACTCATGCTAGAGAAAGCTATCTGAAACCCAGAGAAGGGATAATGTACCAATAGCAACAAGACTGCCTCCTTTCCGCTGACTCTGACAGGCACCGTGTAATGAATAAGACGTTATCAGTAATTATGATTGACAGCTGCCATATATTGAGTGCTTGGTATACCTGAGGTGCTGAACTAAGCTCTTATCATCACAACCCTATGGGGGAGGACTCATATTCCCATTTCATAGATGGGAACAGTGGGGCTTGGAAAGGTTAAGAGGCTGGCCCAAGGTTTGGGAGCTGGGGTTCCCACCCTTCTACACATGGGCATGGGGCAGTGTCCCTGTCAACCCAAAGGTTCTATCTGAGCTGCTTCCCTGCCTCCCTGCCCAGTCTTTCCTGTGGCAGAATCCTGAGCCATACACTGCCCCTGGTCTTGGCCTTGGCCGTGGCTGTGGGCCACGTTCCTAGGGGGCTCCAGAGAAGGGCAAACCAGGGACAATGTGGAACTTCTCCCACACAGGCGAGAAATTGTGACTTGTCATTTTGGAGACTCTGTACCAGCTGACAGGTGGCAGTTGAGGAACTGCGGGGGCCGGGCTGTGGAGGCAGGTGTCTCCAACAATTTGGAAGGGGGGGTGGGGGGGGTTGGCTTTTAAAGTGATGTGGGTTGGACCCAAAGCCATATAGAAACCTCTCATGCTGGCACAGAGAAACTCACCCTTTGCCAGCTCTGTCTGTAAAAGTCAGCATATTATTGAGGTGGTTTTTTTTTTTTTTTAATTGTTCCATTTCAAATATTTCAAACGCAGAATGTCATTCTAAAAAGTTATCCTCCTGGCTTAGGGATTAATTTTAAGCAGGGATAACGTTTGGGGGTATTATGGATTTTGGTTAAGTATTTGGAATTAACATTTTGGATACAAGCCCATTTGTGAAGAATGGAAGCCCTAACCTAGCTCCTGCTACCTGGCCGTCCCTTCCCCGGCCGCAAAGCACAGGGCCTGGCTTTCGTTTTAAGGATTTGAATTGTCTGGGTCTGAGTCCAGCTGTTCTCCACTAAGTGTGATTTCACACCCCCTCCCGTTAAGTCTGGCCGTGCCGTGCCGGGGACATGACTGATTGTCACAGCTTGCAGGGATGTGCTCCTGGCATGGAGTAGGTAGAGGCCAGGGATGCTGCCCGGCCCCCTGCCATGCACAGGACACCCCCCACCCGCACAAAGAATTACAGGACCCTGGGCCAGGCAGAGCAGAGGGACAGCTCTGGGCTGGTTGGGGTTCCTGGTCACCTCAACCACTGTTCCCTTTCCTTCATGCCACGAGGCTTAAAAACTTGGAAAATGGAAGTCACCACAGGAGGCCTGGGGCAAGGGAGACAGGAAGGAGGTTTTAAATCCCACCAAAGACTGGGTGTGTTGGCTCACACCTGGAATCCCAGCCCTTTGGGAGGCTGAAGTGGGCCAATCACCTGAGGTCAGGAGTTTGAGACCAGCCTGGCCAGCGTGGTAAAACTCTGCCTCTACTTAAAAGCCAAAAATTAGCCAGGCGTGGTGGTGTACACCTGTAATCCCAGCTACTCCAGAGGCTGGGGCAGGAGAATCACTTGAACCTGGGAGGCAGAGGTTGAAGTGAGCCAAGATTGGCACCACTGCATTCCAGCCTGGGCGCCAAGAGTGAGACTCTGTCTCAAAAAAAAATTTTTTTTTAAATTATAAATAAATAAATAAATCCCACCTAAATGCTTCTATTTCCATTCACCAAGGAGCTGAAGCAAGGCCACATCCTGGCCTTCTCCATGAGCCCTTTGAGGGTGCAGGTTGAATCCGGGGCTCTGTTCTTTGCCAACTCAGCCCCTTAGGACGATTCTGTTGACTACTAATAAGTATTCGGCAGCCACCTCGTCTACTTCTGAGCCACAGGACACTCACCCACACTGAGTGAATCCTCACAGATGCCTATGGGAAGTTCTCACCCTCACAGACAGACACCAAATGGAACCCCTGAGGCTGTCTGGCTGAAGCCTGGGGCCAGGATGCGTGAACCCTTCTGCCCATCTGCTCCAAGCCGCCCCTCCCAGGGAGCCTCCGACTCCATCCTGTCCCTGGGGCTGGTCCTATCCCAACTGGGATTACACAGCCAGTGCACCCAGGGAGAATGAACTGGGTGGGACACAGAGGCTCCCTGCAGAGGAGTCCCCAGAGCGAGTGGGAGCAAAGAGAAACGTCAGGGGCAGAGGGAGAGCAAGGAAAATGGCCTGGAGCTACTTTAAAATGCAAGCGCTTCGTGCCTTACATGGCTTTAAAAAGTTTTAAACTCAGGAAGTGGGCCCTACGTGACAGAGAAAGACTTGGGCTGGGGAGAAAATTCGATATATGGTGTGGTTGATATCTGTCCTAATTCTGTAGTTTTAGCCACTTCTGTCTGACAGAATAACAGTCACAATGACAACACCGCTAAGGACGATCCCCATCCCATCAGTGCCTGCAGTTAAGTACTCACCGCGAGCTTGGCGCAGGGCTGACTGCCTGGCAAATTTGGTTGGCTCGAGTGACTCTCACAATAACCCATGGGGAAGGGGCTATTCCCAGCCCCAGTTTGCAGATGTGTAAAGTGAGGCTCAGAGCAGTAAGGGGACTTGCCTAAGGTCACACCCTGGAAAGTGGCAGAGTCTGGCCTCCCACCCGGATCTGCCTAGGAAGTCATGAGGACTGGCCCAAGGAGAGCAAGGTAGTCTCAGGTCTGAGTGTGAGGCCTGGCTCCAGCCACATCACCCACACCTAATCAGAGTCACCAGATGGAGAACAAGTCCTGGGCAAGACATGGGAAGCCCATACGCAGAGATGGGGAAACTGAGGCTTGGAGTCTGTACCTCGGGCCAAGCCTGTTGCCTTCCCACCTCGAGCAGCACCAATCTCGTTAGAATTTAGTTCCCACTAATGCTCACATTTTTCCAAGTTCAGAAGAACCCACTGGCTTCCCTACCCGTTCTAGGGAAGAAACTAGGCTTAGCCCAAAACCCCTAGGAAAACTTTTGTTTCTACAACTGTCCTGGATGCCTTCAAAGCCCGAGGAGGTTTCTGGGCTTAAGGGTTCTTAGAAAAGGTCCTCACTGCATAACTAAGAATCATGTTTCCCTGCTTAGAATAGAAAGGCAGCCCCCTGCCTGAACTGGATTACGGTACTAGCTGCTCTTGAGACGCAAAGGGCTTGGCACAGAAATCAGGCTGGTGGAGAAGGCCGGTGACAGCCTTCAGATGTGCCCCCCATCCACCTCTGGGATGGTCACAGTCACACCCTGGGTTTAAGGGTTACTGTGATCCTCGTGTTTCCTTTAGAACTTCGGAATCATTAAGTGGAGAAGCCATGAGGCCTCGTGTCCTGCCATCCCCCACCCCTCTCATTTACAAGTGGCCCACGAGGTTCTCAAATCAAGTGATAAATTCCAATTCCTGAGAAATTCTCCTCTCTTTTCCCCACTTGCAAGACCGGGAAGTGACGCTGCAGAGTGGACACCGAGAGAGGCTCTGGGAGTGTCCACAGCCAGTCACGGGCCCTGTGGCCTGGCTGCCCCCCGAGGCCTCCCTGGCTCTCTCCAAAGGGTCTTCATGCTCAGAAACAGCTATTTTCACTGCCTCTGTCTTAGGGTGATGCTTCAGGTTAATTCACTTTCCCAACTCTGTCTAAATGGAGCCCTTTCCACCCCGGGGACGGCTTTCTCTGGGGTCAGGAGGCAGGCCAGGAAAGGAGACCGAGGGTCCCAGTGTCTCCACCGGAACCTCCAACACCCTAGGCACACTCTGGAGATGGAGCTGGGGCTGCAGAGAAGAGGCTTCTCTTTGCTGTTCCTGTTAGGGCCTCGCCGGAGGGACACTGGAGTCGTCTGCATAAAGGGGCCTTCTGCCTTGGAGACAGAAAGTGCTACCCTGTGAAACAAATCCAGCTTTTAAAACTAACTGTGCTCTCAAACAGCGCCGCTTGGAACAGCGAAGCACTCCCCCAGGTTCTCGAATACACTTGAAGCCGCCAGAAAGATCACTGAGGCCCAATCGCAAAGCCCAGAACACACAGGTCCGGGAGTTGCAGTGGGCCTGAGGGTTTGCCCTGAGCTCCCACAGAGCCAGGGCCTGGAGAGCAGCCCTGTAGCCTCTCTGGTGACCCCTGATGGCACCACCACTCCCCAGGCGGACGGCACACTTGCTTTGCCAGGGAACACTGGGAGTGATGTTCCTCTGCTTTCTCGGCATCCTGCAGGGAAGGACACAGGAACCCCGGGGAAGCAGTGGCAGGGTAGGGTGCAGGGCCATGACCCCAGTCTGGATCCACAGGCAAACCCTTCAAGGAGCCACCCGGCCAAGGAGGCCACCTCCATGCCTGCCTAAAGCTTCCCCCTGCCTCCATGGTATCTCCACCTTCCCCCCCACCTATGGGCCACCACCAGGCCTCCAAGCTCGGCCACCCCTAGCAGTCCCCCAACCCCAGAGCTGACTGCCAGCCGTACTCACATGCCCTGCTCGCCATACTGATTGTAGAACTCCATGTGGCTGCACGCCTGGATCCAGCCAACGATCCAGGTCTCCTTCTTGGGGATGGGCGGCATGATCACCTGGGCCGAGGCCCGGAAGTGGGGTGTCCGGTAGCGGAGCACCACGCTGGAGGACTCATCGATGCTGGTGGGGACCGGGTCGATGGAGGCTTTCACATCAATCACCGTGATCCCTTCCCGGAAGACCCTGGCTTTGCCTCCGATGCTCTGAATACAGCCCATGGCACACAGGAGTGCTCTGATCTCCAGGGAAGGCCAGCAGTCACAGAGAGAACCAGGCATTGAAAGGACGTAGGCTGCAGGACCCAGCGCAGACGGCGCTGCTCTCCAATCTCAACTCTCAAGACCGTTATCCATAGGATAGAAAACTCACTGAGTAGAGGGGGATTGCATATATCACTACCGCGGCCTGTTTATAAATAAGGATTCTGCTGCATTTCAAGAGCCCTGGGCTCGCTCTTCTCCTCGCAGTGGACAAAAATCACCGATATTCTTTGGGTTAAAAAAAGAAAAGTTTGGAGTTTAATGAATAGTCATGTCGCTCTGACATCCAGCCCTTCTGTGCCTCACACGCGGGGACGGCAGCTCGCAGACTCTCCCTGAAGTCTTCGGAGGAAGCAGGCGAGCGCCAGCAGATCATAAATAAGGAAGGCTCCGTCCCCGCGCGGTCGCGCCACCCTCGCTGCAGAAGCGCGACTTCCTGCCCTCCGGCCTTCCGCACGCGCTCCCTCCGGACCCAGCACCCGCACCCGCCCGGCGCGGCGGAGTCAATTGCAGAGCAGTTTCTGTCCACCCGGCCGAGGTCCCGGCGCGCTCGGAGCGAGCGCCGACCCGCGGTTTCCAGGAGGGCTTCCAGGAGGCGAGCTCCGGGCTCGGGCCGCTCGCCGGTGCCGGGGGAGTGCGACGCAGGTCCCCGTCTGCGCCCACTCGCGGGTGCGGGCGGGACGCCCCCACGCGGGCGCGCCGGTGTCGCCTCGCCGCTGTCGCCTCCGGCCGCAGCCGCCTGCTTCGCCGCAGCCGCCGAGGACCTGGTGGGAAGTGGAAGGGACAGTGCGTCAAGGCCCGCCTCAAAGTTGTACCGAACTTTGCTGCGGGGGGCGCGCGGGGGTGGCGACGCGTGTGCGCCGGGCGCGGGCTGCGGAGCTGACGGCGCAGCTCTGGGCGGTCTCCCCGGAGGCGGCGGCCCTCCCCCAACCCCGCCCGCCCCGTCAGTGGCAGCCGCACGACCGCACGCGCCAGCGAATAATCGCCACCCGTGACATCTCCGCTGACACCCTCCCGGCCGGGGGCGGGGTGGGGGGCGAGCAACTGCCACTGCAGAGGGAGGCGAGCACTTGCCCTACGCTGCCCCCGCCGCCACGCCGCCAGCGGCAGGCGCCCCTTCCCACCCGGGTCCCTCTGGCCCCTGGGCGCAGGGCCATCCACCAGGGCCGTCCGATCCGGCGGGCGCTCCGTTCCCGGCCAGGGTCTCTCGGTCCTCAGAGGGCGTAGTGCCCCTGCCCCGCCGCGTTGGGCGCCTCCGCGGACCCTCTCCAGCCGCGAGCAGCCCCGGGTCCCCGCGCTTCAGGCGCGCTAGTCGCTGCCGGGGAACTTTGGCGCGCACGCCCCCACCCGGACGGCGCCGCCGACTCACCTGCCCCGGGGCCGCTCTGCTGGCCCCGGCCGCCGCCCTCCGGACGCCCCTGACCCCGGCGCAGGCAGGCTCTCGGGGCGCCCTCGCCAGCCCACCCCCTTCCCCGGGCACTGTTCCTTGGCTCTACTGGGGTCTGGGGCCGGCGTGGGCGCCCCCGGCCCCCACCCTCAGCCGGCCGGGGCTTCGGGGAGCGGCCGGGGGCGGAGGGCTGAGGCTCGGGGCTCTCTCGCCCCCACCCCGCGCGCCTCCTTTATTTTATGATCATGGTGAGCGCGCTGTCGCCGCTCAGCCCCGCCGCCGCGCCGCAGCCGCCTGGCGCGCCCCGCTCTGCCTCGCTCTGCTGCAGCATCGGAAAGGCAACCGGGTCAAACTTTACAGAAACTCGGCCCCTGCGCGGGCCCGGCCCCCGCGTCCGCTCGCCGCCGCCGGCCGAGCGCAGCCGGCGCACGCAGGGACCGCCGCCCGCTCGCCAGCCCCGCGGGGATGCAGGTCCGCAGGCGGCGGCGGTGGCGGCGGGCGGGCGCCGCCTCCTCCTCCCCGCCCGCCCGGCTCTCCACCCTCGCTCCCGGCACACAGCCCGCCCTCCCCCTGGTAATCCCTCGCTCCCCCTCGCTCCCCCTCCCTCCCTCTCTTTCCAGCTGCCGGGGGAGCTGAGCCTCTCTTTGCAAAAACGACATTTCCTTTTTGGCCAGCTCCGGGAATTCTGGGTAGTGTAGTTCGCTGCTGTCTCGGGCTAGGTGGGCTGCTCCCTGTGTCCTTTGAACTCTCCGGACTAGCGGCTTTCTGGGACTCCGAGCACACGCAGAAGGGCTGCCCTGCCCTGGGTTTCCTGGCTGCAGGGAGACAGTGGCTTGGTGGAGACAGCGCGAAGGCTTTGTAGGCTGCAGGGCTGGGAAGGTGGCGGGGGAGGGGAGAGAAGTTTGGGGAGAAGTGAGTCCCCTCCTGCAGGTCTGCTGGCTGCCTGTTGGACACCAGCTGTGTGATGAGCGCTGTACCCGAGCATCGTTTCAGCCACCATCGGCCTCCCTGTGGAGGGACATTGTGGTGATGTGCACTCCACAGATCCAGAGCTGAGCAGCTGGGGGATTTGCCCAAGGTCCCCAACCCCACTGCAGGTGTTCTGGCTGAGACTGGGAATCCAGTGGTCCCAGTGCAGGGGCTCATGAGGTGCGTGAGGCTGGACAGCCATAGGAAAGCTATGAACCCCACCCCTACCTTGCAACTACACCTAGGGGAAGCCCAAGCAATTTGTGATATAAGGACATCTGGCAGCCACATTAAAGCCACACTCCACACACTCTTCGTCCCCACCCCATCCCCATGACTCTGACTTCCACAGGTGCCCACAACTGGTTCAGGGCAGTGAATCCCAGAGCACACTGGGGTGCTTCCAGCAAATCCCAGAGCATGCCGAATTTGTGAGGGTGGGCTGGAAGGGCTGAGGGGCTGGCCACTCTGGGGTCTCTCCTTTGATGAGTGAACAGCTAGGCCATCTCACAGCAGCACCTGCTCAGCCATGGAGCAGGAAGTGGCTGGCTAGGGTGGCCTCCGCTTCTCACCCAGCTACACCCTCACCCCAGCACTGCTAGCAGACCATGTCCCCAGCTAGTGAGGAGGTGGTCCCTTTCCAGGGCAACTAGTAGGTGGCTTATCCCTAGTCCCACTGACTCTAGCTAAGGCAGGGGAGCATGCCAGTGCCACAGAGGCAGCCCCTTTGGCCTGTTGGACACAGTAGAACCCCAGACAGCACACGGATTCCATAAGGGCCCCACATAAATGTCCATCTCCAGGAAGACATCTTCCCTGGCCTCTTCACCATGTGAAGCAATGTCTCCCCTCCATGAACCAACAGCCCCACGAAACAGTCCCCTCTGGCAGGCACAGGGACTTCCACACCTCTTGTGAGGTCAGATAATGATTGCGCTACTCAGTTTATGTGTAGGGAAGATATTCACTTTTGAGGCATCTGTCTCATTTGCCAACTCTTGTCACCCCGACAGCCTGGCCAGGGTGCTCTGTGAGGGTAGAAACACTGTCCTGGAAATGAGGTGACAAGTTCAAGTGCTCCATGAACAGGGGGAGAGCTGCACATCCCCCATGTGGAAAGGGCAGGGGCCAGAGCACTGAACTGCCTCCTGAGCAGTGAAGCTGCTGCAGGTGGGCTTCTCTCAAGTGCCCCCCAGCCTCAGCCCTGGGCTCCGCCTGGGTTTGTGAAGCACCCACTATGTGTCAGGTACTACACTGAGCAGGCACTGTGTCTTCTATCCTTGACCTTGGCCCTGGGCGGTGGGCTCCACAGACAGAGAAACCCAGAGATCAGGGGATCGTGACTTCTCAGAGGCGGGATGCCAGCCCAGATCTGACCAGCTCCAAATCCCACATTCAACGCCTTCACCAAGCACACCCCACTTGCTAGCCGGGGCCAGCCCCTTGTAGCTATGATGGGAGCACTAGGAAGTCCTATGGGCAGAGGTGTGTGGGTGTCCACACGGTGAGGACTTGCAAAGTAGAAGACCCCTCTCCCTTAATCTGCTCCCCCTTGACATCACCCCTGCAGAGGACCCCATCTCAGTCTGCTGGAGAAGGGAGCAGGCAGCATCAGTGCATGGCCCAGTGTGCCGGCTTTGAGCTGGGGGGGCAGCTCCCCCAGGGCAGCTCTGCCAGGCCAAGGGTGTGAATGGCATCAGCTCCTGCATGCACTCCCTGCTCTGGCTCCTGAAGCGCCCACCAGGGCTCTGGCGGCTTCCCCAGCTCTCGGCCCCTTCGGCCCTACCGCTTCCCCACACAGCCCTTCCTCCCACTCAGCATTTTCCGGAGCTCTGTGGGTGTTGGGCACAGACCCACGGCAGCCTCAGCATATGTGGAAGGCTCATGACGCGTCCACACTCGTGTGAAGTGCCGGCGTCTGCAGAGCAGAGGAAGGGGACATGTGTTTGAGTCATTGTCCAGTAGCACGGGCACTCCCATTGCTCCCAGGTCCCTTTCTCCTCCCCCAGACCTCAGGATCCCCGAGAGGAGGGGTAGGGAGACACAGCCCCAGCCCCCACCCGGGATGGTGAACAGTGGGATGGCAACTTGGGAGCTCAGTGTTGTCCGTGGGAGGACAAGGTCCCACGGTGTTCCTCAATTCCTGGCACATTGGCACAGAGAAGTCATGAAAACCCAAAGCCACACAAGTCAGAAGTAGAAACAACACGAACCCCACCCAACTGCATTTTAATGCAGGCCCAAACCAGCCCAGGGCCCTGGGAGGTCTGCAGAAAGAGCCCGCTGAAGTGTCTCCTTGCAGGCATCACCGTGAACTGGGGCTTTGCACAGCATCTTCATGGCTTTCCACAATGATTCCAGGAGACAGACCCTGTCAACATCCCATTCTACAGATGAGGACATTGACGCCTTGTGAAGAGGAAGGAGGAGATGGAACCAGGCGGCCTGGCTCTAAGACCCAGAGGCTGGGTGACCTGGAGGCAGTGGGTGCGTTCACCAGCGTTCCCTGCAGTATAGGGACCTCGTCTTCAGTGGCCACCAGTGACAGTCTGGAGGCTCTTTCTCTCTCATGGACCACTCTGCATTCAGAGTTGCAGCGAGTCCTCCAAGGGCTCACCACCTCCAAGGGTGGGGTCATCACAAGGCCAGAAAGGCATCCCACCGGAGGGGAAAGTTCTTGTTCTGCAGCTGGAAATGTTCAATGCTGGAATTCTGTTGCCCTAGGAGACAGTGTTCTCTCCCCGACTGTTGGGGACCAGACCAAAAGTCAGTGACGAAGCTTGGAATGTCCACAGGGAGGTGGGTGGGGCCAGAGAGCCAGGCAGGTGGCTGGAGATGGGG